TGCGTGGGACCCGGGGGGGGGGGCGTTATCAATCGGAAGGGCGTACGCGGTAGACGGGCTTATCAGGGCACAAGGGTCGACCACCAGCACACGCCGGGGGGAAACAACCAATATAAATTAAATTTCCTGGGTTACAATGGGTGACAAATGTTTCTGTAGATATCCTTTCAGTACAGCTCTACAGAGATCATTTATCAATAAAAAGCAAAGTACAGACACCACAAAATGCAGGCTAGAGCAGTTAAATTTCATTGGCAATTTGTCAGTGTTAAAATATCATGAAAACAGCACTATGATAAAAAATAACACTAATTTACTTGTTCATGATCGTACATTCAAAGGTAGCTTAAAATTCATACAAAGAAAGGAAGGAGGAAGGAAAAGATGGCAGTCATCTTCAGGCCTATATGAAATGGCAATGCATTTTGAGCATCAATGGAATAAAGATTTGTCAAACTTAAATAATTGGGTCAGCACTGTCACTTTCAGCAATATTCAATATTTCTTAAGTACACAAATTAGAAAGTAAACAAGCAATTCTGGACTTAATAACGTACACACTTCTGAGTATGTGGAGCAGCTTTACACTATACTCTTATAAGTTAAACAACAGTCATTCTATAAAAGAACACACCACCTATAATAAGCTCCAAAAGCATACAGAGAAAAATGCAATCTTAAAAATAATTAAAGATACTAGTTAGATAGACGAACTTAGAAACAATAAGAATAAAGTTGATATAAATAGACAGATACTGTTCTTACAATCAAACTCAAACAAGAGGAAGTTATACAATTTACACAATACGTAAACCAACAGGTTTGACTTTTACCTGAAGCTGCTACTGTACATGCTGATATGAGACAGTATGAAGTTGTTTCCCTCCAACTTCAATTTGTAGCTAGACAAAATACTGGTGAAAGGGTGAAGATTTAGGCTACCTCTGCTAAAACAAAAAAAAATGTCACATTTACAGAACCTCTAACAATTAGTTGAGCACCTTCATGTTCAATGGCAACTTGAACAAAAATGCAAATTTAGAGTTAGGTATAAAAAAAATACATTTTTTAAGCACCACATGACAATAAATCTGTAAATAGCCTAAAACCTTTTTAAAATTCCATTATCTAATGAAAATAAAATATTCACAAAGACTTTTCCTGTAACAGTTTTTGAAAGGCCCACCACAGTACAAGATTTATAAAATGAGAATGTACCCCAACGCAGACTTGAAATTTAGTTTGAATTGAACAAGAAATACCCAGCAGTATTATGCCCATTCAAAGTATAGCAAATGCAGCATTGCTAAAGCATTACCCGGAGAAATTCAGATGTGATTACCAGGAGGCTGATAGTCGTTTGTAGTTATGCTGTACCGCATTTCTTCAGGCGGGCGTGTTCTCTACTGACAATGGGCAAGCCCGCTGGCAATCCTGTGCGGTACAGTACAACTACAGAAGTGCGCGGCGCTAAATCAGCCACAAGAAATATGGCTCTTGTTTTGTTACCAGCTTTACATACTGGGGAACAAACGGCCAACAACACAACTTTGATCAGGACCTTAAAGGAGTCAATAAAAAAAAAATACTGATAGAATGATTGTATGAGCATTCAATTCAATGACTTCAGATGAAAAAAACCCGAACAACATGCACCATATTTTGGGTAATTTGTGCGTAAAAGATTGTAAGTTTAAATACTCATCAGATTAAGATTGTAAGAGTACTTGCAAATGTTACATATCAAGAGATTTATGGACACATGAAAATTTGTCACATATCTTGGCAAACCATGCTTAAAAAAAATACTAGTTACTGCATACAGTTAAAACAAGCTGATCTGCTTAGCATCAAATAGCAGCAAGGCCATGTGTAGAGGTAATACTATGGCACTGGCCATTCAGAATAATTCCATTAAATAGAGTATAAAATAAACTCAGACTGATAGAAAAAATACAAAGGAATAACAAATCATACTATGAAGAACAACAGAGGTTTTCACACGGTAACAACATATCATACAAAACTCTTCTTCAATGTAACAAACATTAACAGGAAATACATAGGGAGTGTTCACAAAACAATTTAAAATCCAATTGGTTTAACAAAAAAAATTAAGATTAAACAAAAATAGCTTACAATCATGAATAAAACAAGGGTTTTTATCATCCAGTAAAGTGATGGTTCGATGTACAAGGCCCTAAAATATATTTTATACACATATAAAGGAACTGCTACTCAACTCTCAACACGGGACAAAGGTTCTGGATTAACAATAACCTGGACCACATATCCAGGTAAGATTTTGGCTTCTTCTATCCGCAATTTATCGCTGAGCAGTTTACCACCAAAGAACCATCTCTGTTTAGATGGCTCAAAACCCTCATGACACTGGAAAGCGAGAGAAAAAATGCATTAAAGAAAATAGTAGAGAATGAGGATTTTAACATGCCATATTCAACAGTACTTTAAATTAGTACCGGAACCATTTCGATATGACAAGTATCAAAATGACTCGATTTCTCAATCAATACAGAGCTAAGTGCCTAGTCGAAGCTAGGACTAGCTGGCTAAAGCTAGATAAGATTGACTACACCAATTTGATAAGCATGACTAGATAACTTACCTGAAGTTTTTTCTTTGCAGTAGCAATTGTATCTGTGGAAAGTAGAGGCAGCTTGACATCTTCACCATTTGATGACAGTCGAATTTTCAAGACAACTTCTGTACCTCCATCAGCAGGCTCTGCAAAGAGGTCCAAAGCTCTGTATACATTTAGCAGTTACTTAACATGCAAGTGTGAAGAGTAGAGTCCTGATGAGAACACATGGTATTTATCAAGGTTCTGTGGCAGGATTCCTAGCTAAAACTACAGTATAAAAAATGAAGATATAAGCTTGAAGGAGACATTAATCAGACTTCCTTAAACTTTTAAAAATCAACAACTGTTTGCTTTCATTTCACGCAGGGCTTCACTCTACAAAACAATTAAAATAAAAGATCTTTCCTAAGTGAATGGTTAAGAGCTAGTTCATATGGCCATTTTACCAGAAAATTCTGCAGGTGATTCTCTTCCATCTTCTTTTATCATGTTGATGGGATTGGACAGGCAGTAAACTGGGACTTTGTACATGGTTCCCAGCTCATCATAACACTCTGTCAAGAAGCCTGTGCACAAATAAAATCCAAAGCATTAGCAATAAAAGTAGTAACACAACTAAACAGAAGAAAAATTAATTGAAACAGATTGATACACCAAACATTTCAAAATGTCTTACCATTTGGAACAGATATATTAGCACCATCTAAAATAGCTTGAGCTAAGACGAAGTCTTGAGCTTCAGTGGCTAAAGACGCAGCTCGCAAGGCGTCCCAAATCTCTTTCCGTCCATCAAATGCGGGTGCTGTGTCCCAGAACTCATCGCGTTTGCTTCTAAGTTGCCCTTCAGTAAGGGGGACATCAGACTTCCAGCGTATAGTATCATGACACAGGGGATGATTTTTTCTTCCTGAAAGCAACAAAATAATAGAGAACTTATCATTGCAGAAACCAATTACTGCACAAATAGATATGTATGCTGTCATACATCCATGTAAACAATTTCAAAGGTGATTTAAAGATTTATAATACGGGTTTAAAGGCTGTTCGAGATCTGCTGTATGACATCAAATAAAGATATGACAAGCTGAGTAAAAGGCTCAGCAAATTAGAGGTTAAAAGGCTGAATCAATATCATAACAAAGGTTACTCAAAGATGCGGTCCCTCACAAAAAAGGTGAGGACATGGGACAAAATACCCATTTTGAAGCAAGGTGACAGCTAATCGTGCAAAATTGAGCAAACTATTATGGAATAGGACAAGTTGGTCAATAGTTGTACACTGTAATGTACGTGCTGTGATCACCTCAGGTAGCAGTTCGGAACAGGCTTGAACTTAAGTTCTCAGGCCGAGTACATAGACTCCAGGACACAAAGGCTCCTGCCAAAGACGCTGTCAAAATACCCTGCAAAATTGTGACGGCTCACTTACCTGAATTTGGCCTTGTGACATTTCCGGCTGCATTTCCACTGGCCGTGTTCGATGCCCGACCGACACTCAGGCACCCACCCATTATCCTAAAATGTCCTCGACTTGGGCTGCATGGCAAACAAACAAGTAGGGCCTTCGACGGGCTGGAAGTGCATTTTCTAGCCCGAACACATTTCGCGACGGGATTCACAGGTAATCAAGCTCGCGCACTGCAAAATACGAGCACAGATGTGCGCGGAGGTGCAGCTCCCCACTGCTCTCCCGTCCGCGGCTGCGTGCGGAAAGCGGCTCCCACCCCGCGGCACAATCACGCTCTTCTTTCTCTCTCCAACGCGATGACCCGCAGACGTGTGCGAGAACGAGAAGAACTTGACTGCGCGAACGCAGCCGTTATGAGTGCACGGGAACTTAAGGTCCCGGTCTGCCGTGTGCCTCTCTGCGTTATCCGACATCTCCCGGGAGCTCCCGAAGTTCGGGGGGCAGTTTCGAGATCGAGATCGAACCCCCTCTCACTCCGCCGCCCCCGCCGGTCTCCCCCCACCCTCAGTCGCTGTGCCCCACATCCTTGTCGTCCGCATCAAAATTCAAGAAAACTCACGATTTTTAACTTGAATTTGATTGAAAAGTCTCGCGATGGCTTGCAGTACCCTTACTAGTGGGTATAGGCTAACTCGCCTAGTTCTGGACCGATCATCCACCGTGTCGAGAAATATCTTTTCCTTGTAAGTTACGCGTTGAGAAGTTTTTGCCCTCCTCGCCGTTAAGGTTAAGGTCCACTCTGTTACGAGATGTTGTCTTCAGTAAAGGGGGTAACATCCCTCCTATTTTCGCCTACAGTTGTTGCTTCGTACTTTGCTTATTCTTGGTAGGACTTGGATAAAACTTTCGTACTACGACAAATGTACCAAGGATGTGAACATTACAACATGCTCATTCGTATGGGTTAAATCGTCTGCTATCACATTGGTCATGAGGATCACGGTGGCTTTAAGTTTCCCGATACCATTCCTTACCAGCAAAATGAAATTCAAATAAAAAGTTTTTGCTCATCATCGTTTCCTAAAGATTCTCGATTCAAATATTTCAATTATTGTTATTGCATCATCATTCGTGTTCTCTTGTCTTTTGAAGGATACCATCTTCACTTCGATCATATAGTGCGTCACCGGAGGAATCAAAAGACACCAGCAGCATTCCTCCTCCAGGAGAAACTGAAACTGAGAAAAAGTTGAAAGCAGAGCTGGAGAAAGTTAGTGCCGAATCCAAATCCTTGTTAGAGAAGGTCTCAGAACTAGATGTAAGTACGCAGCTCCTTTGCATTTCCGTGATCATATTCTCACTTTCTCTCTTCTATTAGCTACATGTCAAGTTTTGTTCTTACATTTGCAGGACAAATACAAGAGATTGCTAGCTGATAGAGAAAATCTAAGGAATCGTCTAACTAAACAAATTGAGGATGCTAAAATATTTGGTATACAGAGCTTTTGTAAAGATTTACTAGAGGTAAGATGACTTACCACTGCTCATCTGCAACATCCTTCTCATTCTCTATAGTCATTATATATTTAAAATATGAATTACATTTTTTCTTAAGGTTGCCGACATATTAGGGAAAGCCACGGAGAGTGTGCCAAAAGAGGAAGTTAAAGATAACAACCCCCATCTGAAGAACTTGTATGAAGGATTGACTATGACTGAGGCTCAGCTTCTAAAAGTATGTGTGCCAAGAAAAAAATATCTTTGTGAAGATTGTGCTGTTGGTTACTGTTACTAATACTTGCATATGTTCAGGTGTTTACTCGTCATGGGCTATTACAAGTCAACCCACTCAATGAGAAGTTTGATCCAAACTTGCACGAGGCTCTTTTTGAACAGGTAAGGCATTTATATTCTTAAGAGGATGAAAAACACTCTAAAATCTTTTCACTCTTTACTATATTCTTAATTTTTCCTATTTTGCCTAGGAGGTACAAGGAAAGGAGCCTGGATCAGTTGTTGTTGTATCAAAAGTTGGGTACAAACTCCAAGAGAGATGTATTCGGCCAGCACTAGTAGGTGTAGCTAAAGGATCATAAAATTTAAACAATGTAACTTTTTCTTGTGTATTTGTTAGTGAAAGGCATGTTGTGGCCTAATTCCATTTGAACCACTTGTAAAGTAAAAGTATATTAAATGTGATCTAAGATGTATAAAAGATGTGAATTCACCTTATAAGATTAAATTTCTATTCTCCTGAATTTTTGATCTTAAATGATTGTTTATACAAATTTAAATATCCACCTCTGCCTCTCAAGCCTTCAATGAACTCAATCAAATGAAATTTCTTTAATTTATTTGTAAAGCCTTAAACGATTCTTAATCAATTTGATAAATGCAGCGATACAAATTTAAGTTGATTGCTTAAGAAATGAACGCATTGCATCATTCACAGCTTTTGGTTCGTCTTGCTGAATAAAGTGATTACCGTCATCAATTATCACAGTCTGAAGAGGTTCAAAAAATGATTTGTGCTTAGCGACACCATCTATGTCAATGGCTATGTCCTTTGCACCAAAAATGTAGAGACCTTGTGGTCTTTCCTTAACTTTCTGACTAGGATTTTTTGGCTTTGGACCAAAACCTTCACTGATTCTTCTGCGCAATGCAGCACGGTAGTAGTTGATCGGTGGTGTAAGTGCTCCTGAAACAAACAGTTTCCATTTTTATACATCCATCATACTTACTTGTGTTACTAATGTGTTTTTTTTTCTTTTTTGTTGGTTTCTTTTTACCTTTTTGTGAAAAGGTGTATTTGAAGGCCTCGATGTCTTCCTCTGTCATTAGTGGGTTATTTTTACCAGGGGTGAAAAATATTCTTTGGAACATTCCAAAGTCATTCCAGCTTGCCCATAATTCTGGAAGGAATGGCAGTTGAAAAAAGAAGACATACCTGTAAGAAACATCAGTAAGTAACTTTTTCCCTTGTTGTTTTGGGTATATTGAGAGATGATCTGAGATCCTCACCAAGACTTGGACGCTTGCTCTTTCCTATTCATCATAATTGCATGGACCTTTGGATGTGGACCATTCATCATAATGTACTTATCAACCATCTCAGGGTGCTGATCCACAAAAATCCATGATATTACAGCACCCCAGTCGTGTGCAACAAGAATGAACTTCTCTTTGTCTTTAAAGTAAGATAAAAACCTAGATTAATATGATACAGGTATATTTACATATTTTTAAAATGCCATCACCAATTTCTTTATATTTGTAGCTTACTCAGTGCTTTTACAATTTCCTTTATATCATCAACCATATTTTCCAGTTTGTAGTCAGATACATTTGAAGGCTTGGCTGAGTCTCCATAGCCCCTCATATCAATTGCTACAGTCCTGATAAAATTAAAAGGTGATTGGTGATAAACAGAAAAATTCACATACAGTATTCTCAATAATAGCTCACCAACCAATAGTCCTTGCTGAACTCGTTCATTTGAAATCGCCAGGAATACCAAAATTCTGGGAAGCCATGCACAAACAGCATCAATGGCCTGGACCTGTCGCCTTTCTCAACATAGTGGAACTTCAGCCCCTATAAAGTCAAAATTTATTTAAATTTCAATTGCTACCCTAATTAATACATAATAGTGATACAAAAGTTCCCCAAAAGGCATTGGGGAAGAGTGTCATGCATTTCAGGGGTGACACTCGGGTGTCCCTTTACCTTGACGGTGACGTAGCCGTGCTGGCCCACCTGGTCGAGGCACTTGGGGGGCGTGGTGCGGCGCCGGGGCCAGAAGAGGCACTTGGTGGGCTTGCGGAGCTGCGCGAGCAGCAGGTGGGGCACCACCATGCACGCGTACAGCAGGGCCTTGCCGTAGATGTAGAGGGCCGTCAGGACCATGAGCGGCAGCGACTGCGCCATGGTTGCTGCTGACTGCTGGAATCAAGGAATAGTGAATGAAGCTGCCGGTGGAGGGAAGCAGCGCGGCGGCGGCGTGGAGTCCTATCCCGGCCGGCTCACCCCACCTGTGCGTGGGACCCGGGGGGGGGGGGGGCGTTATCAATCGGAAGGGCGTACGCGGTAGACGGGCTTATCAGGGCACAAGGGTCGACCACCAGCACACGCC